CTTCCGATCTGGCTAATCTACATGCCTCCGTCGAAGGAGGCATGTAGTCTAGACACACCCCTTGATACTACTATGACTGCCACCAGGATAGCTCCTACTACGAATATCACCACCTGTCACGCTACTCTATTTCCCCGCACTGTTCTGGGCATTGGTCTCCTTGCTGCCACAGATCAGACACCAGATGGAGCTGGATCAAATCTCCTCCACACCAGCCTAATCCCCCCCAAAACTGTGCCTAAACCATCACAGCTTTCTGAGCCTGAGGAAGATCAGCTCTTGGACCACGAACAGCCACAGGAGCTTTCACCAACTGACCCATCCTTGTCTTCACCCAATGAGGCGGTAATCCCAGGGGACTCATCACCATCCAATGAGCTCCGTCAATTCCAGGACCTTTTTAAACGAATGGTGGACAGTCAGGAGGTCCAGCTCATTGAGATATAGCAATAGCAGCACTGACTTAAAAAATCTACAGCCATCCCAAAAGTCCAAAGTAGCCTTGTCGAGGGGCAAGGCAAATCTTAGAAGTGGTGGACTCCAGCCTCAGTACCAGCAACCAACAAGAAGGCTGATAAGAAATATTCCGTGCCTGCCCAGGGAATGGATTTCCTTTTCATGCACCCTCAATCCAACTCTCTCGTGGTTGATGCGGCGCAGCAGAGGGCCAAGAACCCACAATATAGGACCAATACTGGTGACAAAGACAGTAAAAAATTAGACCTTTTTGATAGAAAAGTATATTTAACGTAACTTTTTGATAGAAAAGTATATTTATATTTAGCTGAGGATGGCTAACTATGTGGCCTTCCTCATGAACCATAATTTTGATAATTACACGAAATTAACCACAATGACAACAGCACATTACATCTTCCACATCTCTGCGCATTACATCTTCTGGACGACAGCCACATCAATGGTAATGCACAGAGCTTCTTGGCTGCAATCTGTGGGAGTACCCAAGGAACTGCAGTTGAAGGTGGAGGACCTCCTCTTTGATAGACAGAATCCCTTTGTGGAGAAAACTGACGAGGTCCTTCATACCAGTAAGAACTTTAAGAATATTGGGCACGTACACACCTTCGAACAGACGCAAGCACAACACTCCATACCAGATACGCAGACCCTTCCCTTACTCAGCCCCTCAATATAGGTCAACTGACCAGCACCGTCCTACATAGCGTTCGCAAAAAGGATGCCCACAGAACTACAAGATGGCCAACCAGCAGAACAATCAGCAGCAAGAGACTGCAAGCCATCCCACTATCTGGTCATCTAAGTCAGTGGTCCCCAACCTTTCGTGGCTGCTGGCTGCCCATGGGCGGGGCCGCTCATGTGCCGGGTGTTCGGGGGCAGGGCCACTCATGCGCCCTGAGCCTAGGGCCGTCACTGCGCATGTGCCGAGTGCCTGGGGTAGGGGCTGCCCCTGCGCCTGGGCCTGGAACCACGCATGTGCTGCGCGCCGGGGGCGGGGCCAGCCCAGATGTTTAGGTGGGCACACAAAAATGCCACGGTGGGCGCCATGGCGCCCGCGGGCACTGCGTTGGGGACTACTGATCTAAGTGAAGACACTTGGTTATTCCATCACCGTGTAAAACCATTCCAAAGACGGTGGGCCACCATCACCACCTATCGATGGGTTCTTAAGTTAATAACATCAGGTTACTCAATACCCCTTCAATTCCTTCCCTCCTTACTTTCCCAGTCCCTCTTCAGGGACCCCTCTCATGAGTCTCTGTTGAGACAAGAGGTCTGGGTCATCCTGGGAGGAGGCACACCTGGGTGGTCGACAAATACCTTTGATGTCGGCAGGGGAGCGTCCAGACTATCGTGCTGAGCCGACAAACAGCTGATCAGCTGTTTGTCAGCTCAGCGCGGCAGCCGTGTAAATTTAAATGAAGCGGCGATGATTTAAATCGCTGCTTCATTTTACTATGTCTGGTACCCTAGAGGCATGTAGTCTAGACGTACCCTTATTGTTTGCAGAACTATATAGGTAATAAACATTGAAATGATATTCTAAATTTTAACTATTTATTTTGTGGCTTTTAAGTTTGTGGTTTTTGAAAATTATGAGATTAATAATCTTAACAAGGTTTTATGGACAAAAATTTTAATGAACTGTATGTCTGCTCAAATTTTATTCTAATAAAATGTACAGATTTAGTGATTAATTTACAATGTGAATCTTGCTTTTTTGATTAATTGCAGTGTTGGTTTCCCAAGTTTTAGACTTTGTCAACACTACAGAGTTTTGTCGACAAAAGGCAGCTTATATTGGCAAAACTATGATGTAACTTCTGGTGACAAAAATTACCTATTTTGGCAACAAAATAAAACCACCCCAATGAGAGACATAAGGCTTTTTGAGCAAAAGTTTTGTTGACAAGGTGCCAATGTAGACACGGTGCTTAATTTTATGGCTTTAATAAGTCTCCAGGAGGTGTGCCAGAAGGCCTATTCTGATCTCTGTGGGCAGCAGTTTTAATTCTGCTGCCCTGCAGCCAGGTCAACAACCAGGTAAACAATATCTCCTTCTTTAAAGCTTTGGGAATTTTTAAAATTACATTTCCTGTTTGCTTGGTATGGCAAGACCTTATCACATCTTACCAGGTGACTAGGATAGCTTCTCACAGCAAACGTTTTCCCTCTTGGACCACTGTGGAGCTACTGGATCTGCCTAATATTTGGGGAGAAGAGATAGCGCAGTCCCAGCTGTGCTTTGGCCATAGAAATTTTAATACCTGTAAGCAGATTTCTCAAGGCTGGTGTGAAAAGGGCCATGATCAGGACACCATGCACAGTGAAGATAAAGGAGCGGAGGCAGGCATATTAGAAGGCAAAGGAGGCAACCTGGTGCTCTGGTGTTCCACTCAACACCTGCTGGCTCTATAATGAGCTGGATGCAGTCATCGGCAGCAACACCACTTGCACTGCCATGAGTGTGGATAGTTTGGTGGGCCTCGAGGTGGCTGAAAAGGATGTAATCCAGATGACAGAATTAGATGATGATTTGGAGCTCACAGTGGGGTTGCCCACAGTGGGGCAGGCATCTAGGTCCTGCTCTCCATGCCAGAGATGTTTAGCCAGTCTCAGTAGTTGCTGTTCAGTGAGCAAGAAGCAGAAGAGATGCCTGGTAAGTGACTGTGCTTTGTGTAATGAGGTGGTGGGTTTAAGGTATAGAAATGTACAAGGCTGGCTGTGTTTCTGTCTGTTGAACACTTCCCTGAGCAGCTCAGTGGAACAGGAAACAGTGTTGATGTACTCTTAGATCTCACAGGAATCCTCCAGAGACATCTCTGGGAAACTTCCTTGGAGGTACTCGGCAATCCTCTGCTTGAAT